GTTCCAGTGCCTCACCACCCTCTGGCTGAAAAACTTCCTCCTCATATCCAACCTAAACTTCCCCTGTCTCAATTTAAAACCATTGCCCCTTGTCCTATCACTACCTACCCTCGTAAGCAGCCGTTCCCCCTCCTGCTTGTATACCTAGCAACCTATCTTTAGACTCACTTAACTTAATTCTACAGCCATGGGCTGTAATATTTCCAAGAAAGAGATGTCAGGTTACATGCCATGTGTTAGCATTGTTGGGGGAACAGTTCACATTCTGCCTGTACTGACAGCTGGGGTACCTGCTGGTATTACTGCATGCTTCTCATAAGCCTGAATTGTTTTGTTGAGCAGACCTGTGTTAAGCCAAGCCAAACAGAAAATGCCACTCTTGCTGCCTGGTTTTGAAAGCATTGAGATAGCTGATGAACAAAGCGGCCCATTCTCTGATGAGGTAAATATTTTGTTGACCCTGTGGATGTTTAGTTGTGTGTAATGTCCTGGGAGTTACTCAAAAGGTACTGCAAAGGTCAGGTTTGATTTTTTTTTTTTTAGTGGAATTGGCTTGCAATTACTTCATGTTTGGGATGGTAAACTGTGCTGTATAAACACTCAACAGAAGACTGAACTGCCTCAGTTAATGCATTTTTAACTCTGAAATTCTATGAGCTTGTTCAAAATAATGATGTTTTGAAGTTCTCTACGTAATTTAGATGAAAATGAGTGTGATCAGCTGTAGTAATGAATACATATTGGTTTGAGCTTGGAAGTTGCTTCATACAATGTATTCACTGTATTATTTGAATAGGCAGAAAACTCCCAATGGGATGCAAAACTGAGTGGGATGGAAGTAAACTTGGGTCAGAAACGGGACTCTATATTGGCCCAGACAAGTGAACTAAAAAATGAAGTAAAGGACAAGTCTGATAACATGCAAGTCACATCTGCGAAGGTGAGGTGTTTACTGATAATGTGACAATCAAAATCTGTTATTCTTTTGGACATTCTGAGCTAGAATTAATAAATCACTTGAATTTTGTTCCTTATGAATTGAACTGTAGAGCGCACTTTGTTACGTTTTTTTTGTTTGTTTGAATTCTCTAATAAGTTCACAGGTTGAATTTTAAGGAAGGATCATGGAAAGCTGCCAGTTGGATCACGGAGTCATAGAATAGCTTAGGTTGTGAGGGACCTTAAAAACCACCTAGTTCCAACTCCCTACTATAGGCAGAGTTGCCACCCATACAGCCTGGCCTTGAATGCCTCCAGGGATGGGGCATCCACAACCTCTCTGGGCAGCCTGTGCTGGTGCCTCACCATCCTCTGAGTAAAAAAAATGTCTCCCTAACATCTAACTTAAATCTCCCTTCTTGTTTAAAATCACTCCCCCCTTCTCCTGTCAGTTTCAGACCATGTGAGAAGTCAGTCTCCCTCCTGTTTGTAAGTTCCCTTCAAGTACTGGAAGGCTGTTGTCTTGATACTTCTCTGTATGGGAATTTATTGAAATTCAGTACTTGCCATTTGACTGCAATTGCACATTCCCTTCTGGTGGTTAAGCAGGCATGCGCTGTTCTCCATGTGAACACTGGTATTCATTTTTGTGTGATGCTGATTCAGAGGGAACAAGTGCTTCAGGCAGCACTACAGCCATGCATAGCACCACTGTGATTTAACTGATTTTTCTGCTTAGCCATATATTCAGTGATAAAGCAGCTCCTGATAGATTAAGGTGGCAGGGATTGTGCTCAAACAGAGCTTTTACAGTCCTTCCTAAATCTGCAGTTGATAGCTGTCAAAATGGGTAAATATGCCTGAAAACAAGAAATGATACTGACTTGTTTTTGGCATCCTTAAGTCATGTCCAGCAGTTCTTTCAATGCAGTCAGCATCTACTGAGGGATGTGTGCCGATTCAGCGTGCTGGGAAAACTCTGCTGATCTGAAAGCTGTTTCATTCTGGATGCCTCTACCTGAACTACGTAGCAGTTTTCAATTCCACTACTTTGTTTCTAATCCAGGTTGTTTTTTTTTAATCTTTCTGTAGTTGAAATTGGAGTTTTCAGCTTCAAAGCCTAAAAGTGACGTACTTCTGGAAGAAGAGAAGTCTGTTGATTTTGTGTTCATTCCCCCAGAAACAAAAGCAAGGATATTGACAGAACATCAAAAAGAAGTGCTTAGGTCAAAGAGGTTTGTCATTCATTCTTTTAAACTTCATGTGAAATGTCGTTTTGTTAGATACATCAAATAGACATAACTTCAGTTCCTCTATCTCAGATTACTGTGTGTAATTATTTCCTTGTCTTCCTTTCAAGTTAAAACATTTAGAGGTAACAACGTTCCTTGCTTTACTGTCTTAAAGTCAAGTTATTCTCTGTTCTACATTTCCTACTTGGATTAAATATGCTCTATTATCTGTTTGATGCTTGGAGGTATGTTTGTACCTCACGACTCTTCCAATGTGAATTAAAGCTGACATTTTCCTGACTTGTGGAATTAAAAGGGTGTTCTCACCTGATCTGCAGGAAAAACTCTTAGCTTTGAAAGAGAAGTTTTTATGTCAGCAGCATATCAGAAATCAGGATATTCCAAAAACTCAGCTTGGTAAGAAGGGAATCTTAGAATTGTCCTCTTTCTCTGCGAGAAAATAACTCTAGGATCTTCAGGCAGATGGTCACTAAAGGAGTACAAGCAAGCTTTGTGTGCAGTTCCTGCAGTTACAGGAACACAGTTGAATTAAGTAGTCAGCTTGTGCTGATGAGTTCTTTGCACAGTGGGATCCTGCCCACAGCTCTTTATTACCCACACATACACCCCTAAGCATGGTTGGAACTAAATTTGGTGCGGGTGAAAATTGCAGTTCTCAATTCAGGGGATAAATGGTGATCCACATCCACTTTGTTTCTTTTTCCAGTTGGACTGTGAGGTTGCAGTGGCAGATAGCAATACTGTGTCTTTTCTTTTCCAGAGTGTGGAGTGGAATGTGTGCTTACAGAGTCTCCTGATACTCGGTACATGCTGCATTGCTTCTTTTACAGCAATCCATACTGTAATGCATGTTGCTGTTTGAGTAGTCTTAAGAGTTTAGAAGTCAACCTCATAATGAGAATTTGCTGTCTTGTGATACATCATACTACCCACTCTCATCCAACGTATTTTTTTGAATATTCCAACTTAATCATTTCTGGTTTTGTTTCAGAATTGGTATTCCTGCTATGTACAACAATTTAGACTCATCACAAGATACTACCTTATTTTCTCAGTATACTCAGAGCCAGGAAGATTCTTTGTAAGTAAGGGGGGCCAGTATATGCATTAAAGGTGTCCTCTTTATTTTTTTTTTTTTTTTGCAGCACTTCTAATTTAATTAACTTTTATTTTAGGGAAAAGTCATCTTTAATAGAAAATGCAAAAGAAGATATTAAAAACAATCCTCAGGTAATTTCTCAATGTCTAATGGGAGTTAAGGTATCAGAATTATAACCATATTGGTAATGCTTTCTTTGTAATGGTAGCTCTGGTAATGGCAAAATTCCTTGATTACTGTCTAATTAATAAGTCCTTTTTAGATTCCTTTGGAAAGCAAAAAAAAAAGCCAGCAACAGAACATACCTAGGATGTATCTGCTGACAATAATAATTTCATTTTCCATATTGATTAACCTGTAAGACTCTGCAGAATACATTGTTTCCTGGGCTTCCTATCTGTTCCATTTCTGCATAGTTAGGGCCCAGGCTTACAAAACTATGGCATACACTGATAGCTCTCTATTTGTATCCTTCTCATCAACAGGTTTCAATCTGGTAGTGTTTGCAGTGTTCTTTCTGCTGTGTTCTACTTTACATAACAAAGGGTCTGTTATTAAATGCTTGAACATGAATTTCAAGGCACAAGGATTTATGTGATCAGTTTAACAAGGGTGTATTTAAGTGGTTTTGTTACAGAGCTACAGGTATTGTGGGGCTTAACTGCAGCACAGACTGAACTGTGACTTACTGTAGTGCTGTTCTGCAAGCATAAAGCTAGGAAACTAACTCTTGTTGACTTGCTGTTTCCATAACCTTTCCTGCCAGCAGATGTAATTTGAATACTTCATGTTTTTCTGTAACTCTTCCCAGACTTAGAAAAGTCTTCCTGTTGGTATCTATATTGTTCTGGTGATTGTGCTTTTAAACAGTTGAGCTGTGCTTCCTTATTCTCAACTGCTTTTGGTTGAAGCTGCAAGGACTTGAGGGGGATTAAATAGTAAATTTTATGAGGAAAAAAGCATTTTGTGAGGAAAAAGCTTGGAGTGCCTCATTCTGCTCCTGGAGCCCCAGCACAAGAAGGGTGTGGAGCTGTTAGGATAGGTCTGGAGCAGGGGTTGGCCTAGATGAAATGCAGGGCCCTGCCAGCATCAGCCCTGCTGTGATTCTGCTGGGGGACACAACAGGGCGGGCACATCATAAGGTAATCTGAAGAACTATTTTTTATATAATAGCAAAACCAGAATTTGCTGTTTTTGGAACAGGAAGAAAATGAAAGGAGTGAAAGCTGTATTGCTGATTCAAATGGAATCACGGGGGACTGCAAGCTGGATAATCCTCTGGAGGATGTGAAAGAGAAGTCTGCTGCTCACAGAGAGAAGAACTCAATTTTAAACAGCGAAGGAGAATCACAAGGGGATGATGCAACTGGAATCATTGAAGAGGAGTCATCAGTTGGAGAAGGATTAGAAAAAAGTCATACAGAAACAGCTTCAAAGGAATCCTTAGTAGGGAATGAAAACACTTCAAATGTCAGTAGCAGTTCTACTTCAAGCGACGTGATCTCTGGAACGCCGCAGCCTGTGAGCCGACGGCAGTCTTTTATCACATTGGAGAAGTTTGATAGTTCAGAGAGCAGGCCCTTCAGCCCTTCAGCATTAAACAGTGCAGCAGAGATGTCTCGAAGTGTTCCTGTGCCAGATAAACAGGGAAATATAAACACGTGCAAGACTGGTCATAAGCCGGGGAAGTCTGGGGAAGAGAATAAAAAGTCTGAGCAAATTTCTGCTGCAAAACGAAGGCTGACACGCAGGCAGAGTAAAATGGAACAGCATGGAAATCAACAGTCCAAGTTAACTAGCTCAGAACAAGAAAACAGTGCACAGGAGTCTTTTGTTTCTAATAGCATGGAAAATAGTCCTGAATCATCTTGCTCAAGGGAAGACACGGAACGTATTCTCACTGCTCAGCCCCAACCTGTCAGCTCTACAGAGCCAGAAATCAAAAAAACTGAAGGTGTAGTAGCAGAAATAGAAAAGGTCCGGGCATTTGAAATGGATTCTAAAGAAAATACACCCCCGAAGGTGGCTGTGTCCTCTGAGCAGGTAACAGGTGATGGTAGTCAGGGCCCACATGCATCTCTTAGTCAGAAAATACTGAGACGTTCTTCGAGACGACGGTCAGAAAATGCAGAAATGGCAGCAGGTAGTCAGGATAAGGAAGATGGCTACCAAAAAAAAGACAGGCGTAAAGAAGATGAAAAAGCTCTGCAAAAGAAGGTGCCCCAGACTAAAGAGGATGCTTCCCAGAAGCAGAAAGCAGTTTGTGGGAAAGCTTCAGAATATGCAGTCAAGAAAGAAAGCGGCCTACCTGAGAGAAGTGCTACAGGGGACTTGGGCTCAAAGGAGCCTTCTGCTCCAAAGGGTGCTGATGAGGAAGCAAACAGAAGTGCTAGGAAGTCAGAAGATGCATTGAAGAGTGACAGGGAAAGTCAGGACTGTAGCTCAGACACAGTAGGTGAGAAGAAAAGGGAACGGCCACGGTACCACACCAGGAGGAGTTCACAAGGATTGCTCTCCAGCATAGAAAACGCAGAGGCTGATGGCTCTGAGACCAAGAAGGAAAGTTTAAAGAAAAAATCTGGAAAAACAAAAAATAAAAGTGATTCTCTTGAAGGTAAATGGAAGGATGTCCAGCCAGACAGCCAAAGCCGTGAGGTGTCTTCTCAAATAGATGAAAGTAAGAATCTGTTGGGGATGAATGAAAGCAAATTAAGCAGTGAAATCATCACAGGTACAGCACTGATGCTTGCACCATCTGATGTGAAAAATAAAGTACTGCTTGCAGATGCTGGCGAAGCGGAGGGGTCTGCCAGCTCAAAGACTTCACCTGATACACAGCCTGCAAGCGTGGAACAAAGCAAAGCTGGTATGTTGACAGAATCTTTCGGTGACCCACGTGTGTCTGATGAAGTTCTGAAAGGAGAGGAAAATAAATGCACTGAAAAGCAAGGATCTGTGGAACAGAGTGTTCAGCCTGAGGTTGCACAAGGAGCAGACACTTCAGGTGGCAACCTTTCCTCTGCACAAATGCAGGACTGTCAGCACAAGAGAAGCAGAAGGGTGAGAAAAGTGAAGAGCTGTGACTGCTGCTCGAAAAGGGTGAAGCTGCAAACATCACTCAGTGAGTCAAAAGATGAGGATCCTCGTGAACTGATTGAGCCCCAGACCACGCCAGTTCACACAGCTGTCAGTACAGCAGAGGTGTCTGGCAGCTCGAATCTGGAGGAGAGTTTGTCCATCACACCTTGTGCCATGAGCACACCGCTGCCTCCTGCTAAGGAATCCGGTATGTTGAGCTTGGAAAGAGAGAGAACGTGTGAAGATCATCTGCAAGGAAATTCTGGTGTTAACGAGGAAGAGGTAGAGAATCCAGCACATACAGCAGGTGAAATGGGTGATCCTGTAGTGGAAATAAAAGTGAAAGAAGCTGATGAGAGTGACAGAGCTGAGCAGTGTGTGTCTGTGTCTGAGTGTGCTTCGGATGAGCACGGTGGCAGCTCTATGGATCAAAGCGAGGAAAAGGCAGCCGTAGAAAAGGAAGAAGAAAGCCAGCATGGGGAAATGGAGGAGATCCCTGGGGTGTTGGCTGATGGTAGCAAACCTGAGACAAAACAGATGGATGAGCTCGAAAGCAATCAGGACAGCAAGGAGAAAGCTGAGAACGCTCTGGGAGAAGTTTGCGTTACTTCAGATAACGAGATGGGAGAGGAGCTGCTGGAAGCTGAGATTACAAGGCCTGAGAACATGGCTGTAAGCAACGAAGATGTAGTAGAAAATCAGAGTGCAGATTCGCCTCAGAAGCCAGAAGGTCTGAATTCTTTCATATCTGTTAATGAGAGCCCCAGCGGAGTGCAGGCACGCTGCACGTGGTCTCCTTCAGCTTCTCCATCCACCAGTATTTTGAAGAGAGGGGTAAAAAGGCACCAAGAGGATGATTCCTTGTCACCTGCTAATAAGGTACTGTGCAGTTTGTTCTGCAATGTGGTTCATTCTGTTCATAATGCATTAGTAACAGTGCTTGCAGTGCAATGAGTTCCAAATACGTGCAGTTATCAGCTTAATTTTTTCATTTGTAAATGAAAGTACGCTGAAGATAAGGGCCTGTAGATATTTTTGTAGTGCACAGACATCAGCAGGCTTGTATTATTAGGAGCTTGGGAGGTTTGTTTTCAGAACAACCCCAATGGCTGCTCTGCCTGCAGGAGTTGCAGTGGAACAAATGCCACTGCAAAGTCAGCATCTTACCAATGGGTTTTTGGGAAACACAGGATGTTTCCTTCAGCAGAAGCCATTGTAATCATGGCTTCAGTCCTTGGGTGGATGGTGTCGTTCAGGAATTTCAGTGACTTTATCCATTTCAAAAGGAGTTATTTTGTCTCTTCAGACTCCCTTCAGCAGACTGTAGTGGTTCATGCTATAAAAACTACTTCTCTCTGACAACAGATTCGTCGGGTCTCTTTTGCAAATCCTATTTATCAAGAAGGACTGGCTGATGACATAGACAGGAGAAGTCCTGTCATTAGATCCCATTCTTCACCGTCTTCACGAAGTCTTAAAATCTTATCTAATATTCAGACTAAGGTAACTTTTCAGATATTTTTTTTGCATGTCATAAGTCTTCAGTTTCTCAGAGTGACGTAGCTAGCTGTGACATATGTCTGTAGTTCCTTGCAAACAGTTGTAAGAGCAAAGAGCAGAAAATGGGTAAGTTTAAGAGCTGGCTGTAACTGGTTTATTCTGTGGCTCAGTCTGTTGCTCTGCAGGCCAACATGCTCTAAGCTAGGTAGCTAGAAAGTGAAAATTAATTGAGTTCTTACAATCCTGAGAGATTTTTTTCCTCTTTTTCTATCCAGCCTATTACCACTCCAACCAAAGGATTTCTGTCCCCAGGATCTCGTAACCCTAAATTTAAGAGCTCAAAGAAGTGTTTAGTAAGAAGTGCTTTGCTTCACGTTTCTTACTCTTTCTCGTATTCAGTTGTGTGACAGTTAATCTAATAATTTGTCTGTGTTATTTCAGATGACAGAGATGGTGAAGGAGTCACTGCCTTCCCCTACGGAATGTGTGTATCCTGCCTTAGTTGGGTGTAAGGCACCCGTTGATGTAATTTTACCTCAGATCACATCAAATATATGGTAAGTGCCTTGTTGCTTTGGAAGATGTGATTTTAATGGAAACTGAGTTCTTGCTGGATCTTAACAGCAACAAAAAAATGATAAACTATGGATGTCTTTTGCAAAACTGTATCCCCTGCTTCTCCTCCCAGCAACCTTGGAATGATTCAGGTGGTCTTTCAGTAAAGCTGTGAAAGTTTGCACCAAACTTACATGTGGTGCAAGGCAGAGCAGATGGATCTTAATGATCTGTTACAAAGTGATCAGAGCTTCCACTGTATCAAAGGGGATGGCTGAGGGTGCTGCCATCCCAGTACTGCTTGGGGGTACTGCAGGACTGCAGGCACAGTGGGATTCCTGGTTAACATCTGCATTACAACCATACAAACACCAAGATCTCAGCTGGAGTGTCTTCAGATTTGAATCCAGATGACAAAAAAAAAAAAGACTTGTATTGGAAACTGCTCTGAATGGCCTTTTCTTGCTGTATTCTGCTTCTTTCCACTGATGTGTGCCTTCAGAATACCACTATCTGATGAGTTTTGGATACATTGCAAGAAGTGTGTTCCCACAAACAAAAATGTCATTTGCATTGTATTTTCCTATAGTTATGTGAATGTATTTTGACGTTCATGTAAGAGCTCTTGTTGCTGTACCACACCAAGGAGGATGAAGGTGGATCTAATTAATTAACCAGCTTTTCTTTGATGCAGTGCCAGAGGTCTGGGGCAGCTCATTCGAGCGAAGAACATAAAGACAGTGGGAGATCTCAGTACTCTGACAGCATCAGAAATCAAAACTCTTCCCATCCGTTCTCCTAAAGTTTCCAATGTTAAAAAAGCTCTTAAAGGATATCACGAGCAACAGGTAAAGCTTAATTAATCCTGGTTCTCAAGAAGCCAGAAGTAACCTGATGAACTACTAACAAACGCTCATCACGAGTAATGCATTTTTATTACTAGTGAAAGCACTTTAAGCTGTGATATCTGTCCAAGTTGGGCATTTGGGGCGCAGTGTTCGGGCACTCACAGTGGGAATGACTGTATTTATTGCACAGTTACAGCATATCTTGCTGTGTAGTTCTGAACATGCATCATCTTTCTCCTCTCTGAAAAATCCTCAGGTAAAATCTCGAGGGTGTGAAGAAATCGGAGCACTCGAAGATGTGGAGAGGACAGTAAACAGTGCAGGGGATAAATCTCCTCCTGTGGATGAGGAAAAACTTGCAACAGGTAACTTGCCTGCATGTTACTTAGGGTCTGGCTGTCACTGCTTTCATTCTTTTCTAATGGAACACTCGATTTCTTTTGGGAAGCTGCTAGCTAGTCTGAAGGGATGAGTTGAGTTAATCACATCCTGTAATGGCATTTTGAAACTTATTAAAACTGCTGAGGGCAAGATGTGCTTTGTTTTTTCCCTAAAACTCTGTGTTCAGCAGGGCTCTGAGTTCTTTGCTTTGCACATCTCAGCCCATGCTCCTCCTGAGCTGTTCGATGCTGCAGTTCTGGATGTGCTCAGAAACAAAGTGAACTGTGGGGCTGAGGAGATGCCTGCAGGTGTTCTGGCTGTTTCCCAGGATACCCAGTGTGGATTTTGGGGCCTGAGTGTTTTTTGTTGTTGTTTACGTGGATTCTGGGGTTTGGCCTTACAGTTGAAGCAGAGGAATTTTTCCTGTAAGACATTTGGGGCATTTGGTTGACCAGAGAACAGAGAACTCAGGAGTGACTGACTCCAGTGAGTGGTTTAAAGTGGACTTTTTTGGGATAACACATCTCAAAGGGCATTGGCAGTACATGAATAACACTATTGTGATGTCTCTTCTTATTTTTATTGCCTAACCCTCATCAAATACAATGCAAATCCCTATAAAGAAGAGGCAGTGTTTGTTTAGTTCTTAGGGGTGCCCCTCTCAGAAGCTCTTTCTGATACTTTGTAGACTGTTGGAATGTATTATTTAATACAAAACAAACTGCAGCATCCCAGTGATGCTCTGGCTGAGACCCCACGCCCTGACTGCCCACCCTGCCTTCCTTTGCAGATCTGGGTGAGCCCATTGCCCTGAGCAGCAGCAGCCCACCCCCTGCAGATCTTCTGAGCCAGCTGGATGTGCTGGCTGCTCAGTTCACCTCCGAAGATCTCCGCAGCTACCCTGGCAGCCGCCTGTTTGAGATGCAGGAGAAGCTTGCCAGCATGACAGACTGCATCATGAGAACCCTGCGGTCCCAATGGAGGTCACCACCCCACGACAGTGCTGAGTAGTTGCTTAGAATTCCTGAGTAAGGAGGATTTTGTTACGAGTTTTTCCACAAAGTGTAGTTTTCTTACTGGTGAGTTAATCCTTGAGCTGGATGTTTTGTACTACAGAAGATTTTTTAACACCTATATGATCAAAATGTATCATGCTTTACTTCCCCCGTTTGTATTTTTAACTTGTAGGATAGTTTATTAGAGAGATTTCTATTACATTGCTATGCATATCTCTTTCAGGTAGTGAAAGAAAACTTGATCAAGTTGTGCAATAGCAAAGACTGTGAAACCAAACTAACAGAGTAGTTAAATTATTTTTTTTCAAATCCAAAAAGTGTTCTTACTGCTGTAAACTCAATCTATATGGTGAGAGATGGCTCTCACAGCTCTGCTCTCGTGCTGCCCATGTCTGCTTCCTTCAGAACTGCTGAAGCCCTTCAGCACTTCTGCACTGAGGTAAGCTCTGCTCAGTTCCCTGCTGACAGTGGGGACGGTGTGTGTGTTGTTATCACACTAAAGCTGATGACAAAAGCAACATTGTGAGTGAGAGACTTCGCAGAACTTCTTGGCCTTTTCCTGTGTTCTAACAGCTTTGTTTGCAGCAGCTCTCCTGTGATGGAGAAGACCCTTTTCCCTTTGTGGAAATAAATGAATTTGACGTGGGTTCTTTGTATATTATGTATAGGCTTGTGATTGCAAATGTTAGTTAATAATTTATGGTTTTTAATTGCACGGAATGCACTGCTGCTTCTCAGAGACCTTCAGAGTTCTCCATTTTTACCCCTGAAATCTAATTTGTATATATTGGACATTTGTGGAAAGGAATTGCTCCAGGTATTAGAACTTCAACATGTGCAAATAAAAGAGCAATTAGTTTCCAAAGTTGTTAATGTTAATCTTTAAGCTGAAATGAAACAGACTGCTTCCAAATCGTTCATCCCTTCCTCAGAGTTGCTTTGGAGGTTAGGAGGAAGCTTGGAAGGCCCTCAGCCCTGCCTGAGGCAGGGGTGAGTGGGGCAGCAAAGACTGGGGTGTATCTGAGCAGCAGGATCCCATCTGTACCCTGCTCATGCAGCTCAGAAAGTAATGAGCAAGACAGAGATGTCTTAAAGGACTGATGTGATCAGTACCAGTGGTGAGTGGCTGGAGGTTTTCTTGTTTCCCTGATAACGCTGCTTCCAAATATACTTCCTCAGGTTTAACCATGTCTTGTCTCCAGGGCCCTGTACAAGCAGGGATGGGCCCAGTGCGTCTCAGAAGGGCGTCAGCATCCCCATGTAACTTATATTCTAGCTTTGCTATTCTGAATCCCCTGTGAGAAATGTTTTCCTTGCAAGCTGTACACCACAATATGCTGTGAATTCTCTTTAAACAAAGGCTTCGGGGTTTAAGTTGCAAATCTTCCTGCTATGAGCTCACTTTGTATGCTTTGTCCAAGATAGAATTGAGTGTTTTCCTGCTTCCATCTTTGGAGGCTGGCTGGTACCAGGTGCTACCAAACAAATAACCACGGTGTGTGGCTGTGAAATAATTGTTTGTCCAGCTTTTTCACCTTGCTGGGACTGCTGCATCCTCGATCTGCTCTCTTTCTGAATGAAGCAGGATTGTTTTAAGATAAATTTGTACTCTTCAGAGCGAAGAAAAACATCAAACATGCTGCGGAAACATGAGCTTTATTTAGTCACTAATTTACAAGTAACAACTTTTGACTCCAGAACAGAAAAACACCTGCATAAGAGCTCAGCAAGCAGACAGAAGAGGCTTTTGCTTTGTGAGTTTTCCCCCCTCTTTTTTTTACTTCCTCCCCTCCAGATAAATGTTGGCTTGAGATCCTAAGCTTACATGGAAAACAAACATGTTTGAAAGTTTCAGAAGAGATTCCCTCCTTCTGGGAGAATGAAGAAAGTAATGGTTGGTAGTTTAGTCTCCAGCACAGGTACAAAAGTTCAGTGATACTGAACTGTGTTGTGATTTTGGCATTGTTTAAAACATGCTGATAGTACTGTATGCTTAAATGTTTTAAATGAAGATGTAGGCAATTTCAGAAAGGTTTGGGACACCAGAAGCAAGGCAGCTCTCATGAGCAGCACCAGGTGGTGTTTGCAGGTAGTTTTCAGAAATAATTGGAAGGGAAGGAGTTTCTAGAGTATTTAGTTGTGTATTTCCTTTTTTTTTTCTCCCCATGCTGGTTTGTAAAGCACTACCACTCACCATGGAAGACAGTGCAGTGCTTTGGTGTTAGAAAGTTCTGTCGCTGACAGTGGGAGATGGCTGTGCCTGGGGAGGGCTGTTCTCTGGCTCACACAGCCTCCACGTAGTTGGCTGGCAGCATGCCTGTCTTGCCAGTTCTCTGCACGGTCCCATACATCCAGCCTTCATCAATGGCTTGCACATTGACAATTGTGTCACCATCTTTGAAGGAAACCTCATCAGCGTCGGCTGCTGTGTAGTCATACATAGCCCGGTATGTCTTCTGTTAATTGGAATAAAGAAGGGGAAATTAACAGCAGTGATGTGAATAACTCTTAGGTTTTGGTCAGAGTGGAGGGCAGGTGAAGCTGTGACTGATGGCAGTACTGAAAAGTACCACCAATGGTAATAAAATATCTTCATCTCTGAAGTATCTTAATATCTTAATTATCTAAATCTCTTAAGTATCCTGGTTTCAGATCACAGAGTATTGAAAATACAGATTTTGGGTGACCAGTCTTTATAAGGTATTTTTCTGTTTGTATTCCTTTGAGGCAGTTGCAGCCTCCTTGGTTCTGAGAGGGGCAGCCAGCCCCCCACCTTGTGCCTTTGTGCTTTAGTTAGACCAAACCTTGTCAGAATGTATTTGAGCACCACTGTTTAAACAATGAGCCAGCTCAGGTTAGCTCCAGGGTCTGACTTCTCTGGGAGAGAGAAAATGTACATTTAAGCTCTCAAGATCAGCTAAGGGGCTACTGTCAGCTCATTTTGTAGCAAACATCAGCCTGTGGATTTTTCTAGTCTCTCCTGGATGAACACCAGCCCTGCTTACTGCTGTGAGCTGGGGAGGGGTAGTGCAGTGGTCCAGAGCTACTTACCCCAGCAGTGGATGGGTGGGAAGGAACTGATGACACGGTGGTTTGCTGAGTGGCAACAGATGCTGACCTTTGTTGTGGCAGCTCTATGGTCTTAGCATGTTTATAACCCACTATGAAAGGGAAAAAAAAATGTTTAGTTTCCAGTTTAATGCTTTTATTTGTTATGGAACTGGCAGGGGAGTGCAGTTGCTGTGACTAAAGATACTGGGATGGGTCAGGAGGTGACCCACAGCACTACAACTGCAGTTGGTCACAACCAAAGCTCAGCACTTGTGTGCTCCAGCTGTGAGTCCTGTCCCAGCAGAGGGGCTGGGCGCTGTTTGGGCCCAGCTTTGTTCCCATACCTGTGGCAGTGGTGGTAAAGAAGCCTTCGTTGCTGTAGTAGGACAGGTGCTGATTCACCCCCTCCGAGGGCTCTGATTTCTCATCCCCACCGCTGATGCTCAGGGCACTGGCAGAGCGGGAGTGCTCCCTGCTGCGGCGCTGCGCTTGGACTGCCAGGAGAAAACCAGTTTGTTTTGGTGTGAGATATGCTGGCTGGCAGCTCCCTGCTTTATGTGTGTGGGCAGAAGTGGTTACTGGACCTTGCTAAGCATGAAAAATAAAAAAAAGCACAGTTCTTATGTTCCTTCTTTATTTCTAATATCTAGATTTGTTCTTCTCCCGCTCTTGTGCTTGCTGTATCCAAAATGTGTACTCAAATTACTGCTTGCTTCCCTTTGTCAGCTGCCAAAGAGCAACACAATGGCCCCATGCTGTTCTGGCACTTGGGGTCCACTTTTCTCAAGCAGTGAGCAGGGAAGAGAACTGAGGTACAGCACTTTGGGAGCTAAATAAGGAGGCAAGTGTTACAGGCAAGCAGCTGTGCTGGCTGTGGAGCTCTGAATCTTGTACAGCCCTGTGCTAGGGGAGCATTTGCATACTTAATAAGATGAACTTTGTGAGAACCAGCTCTATGGAGCAGTTTCTCCTCTCCCACTAGAACTGTGCCCACGTGTAACTTTGGGAATCACTGCTAAGGCAGTGTCTGAAATAAGCACGTTAGCCTATATGTGCATTCCCACACAGAGAAAGACCTTAGAACTGTACTTCAGTGTCCCCAGGCAGTTAGTTATCCTGTTGGATTTGCACGAACAGAGCGGAGCCAACCTGTGATCATGTGTAAGCTCCTGGACTGAATGTTGTCCTCTGCAGGGTCGTAGTCAAAGACAGAGCCGGGATTTGTGCGCCACACACGAAGACCTGCAAGAGAAATGACTGAGGAGCTGGAGCCCAGGAAGGTCCTGGAGAGCCAGATGAGCACAAAGTGATCCTAAATGGGAGTAGAAACGTACAGGGGAAAGGAAAGCAGAAGCTGATAATTTAAGCTCATCAAAGGTGTAGTGCAGAGAGGTGGTTGGTGAAAACTTTGAGGTAAACTTCTTAAAAATACAAATAAGAAATGACAATCCAAATCTGGCATCTACTACACAAAAGTCATTTGGAGGGGAGAGACAGAGGAGGCTTTGATAAGGCCACCGGCTTCAATTAATGATAAATATAAACTGATGATACTGCTGAGCTTAAATAAAACAATTTTTCAAGGTCATTTTGTGTTCTGTGTAAATGAAGTAGTGCAGTTTGTGCTTACCTGTCAGATTCTCCTGGTCCTGGTCCACGCGCTTTTGCTCCATTTCTACCACTCGTCTCTGAATGCCTCTATAGCTGATGTCACTGAAGTCCTGCATGTTCTTCTTCACACGTTCTGTAATGGGGTCAGTGACTACAGGTGTGAAAGTACCTTTGTTTTTCTCAAAATCTTCATGGTATTTCACCTGTCACGGAAAAAAAGAAAACATCAGTCCTTGTTTCCTGCTACCATCAAGTGAATTCCTTGCAGAGGGCCAATGCCCTGCTGAAGATCTGCCTTCACCAAGGTAAAACTGGTCTGTTACTGATAGATATTCATTGTCACCAAAAAGGCAACCTGTTGTGTCTCAGAAACAATAAGTAACAGACACACAGAGAAGTGCTCTTACTGTAGAGATGTGTTTCTGCGTCTCCCGCACACGGCGCATTTCAGGTGTGTCCAGAACGTAAGCAGCTTTGCCCTGTACCTGTTTTCGGAAGCTGTCAGAGTAAAGGACCTGCAGGCAGAAAAAGGAAGAGAGGAAAGGTAAAAGGTGGGCAGAATACAAGAGGGAGGGAGAGAAAGAAAGGAATAAAAAGAAAAAGAGGAGAGAGGAAGTGGGAGGAAAAGATAGATGGGGAGAGAAGAAGGAAAAGAGGGGAGGGAGGGAAGGGAAAAAGGAGGGAAGGAAGTGAAGAATGGAGGGAAGAAGGGCTAAACGCTGCCATTCCCATAATCATAAAGGAATGACCAGACTGGAGGGCTGCTGTTTTTAATACATTGAAGGACTTACTGAGCTGATGTTTTCCTGGTTGCGCTTCGCTCTCTCCATCTCAGGGGTCATTGGGGTTGGGGTTCCTTTTGCCAGCTGTTCTTTGTACAACACCTACAGAGTACAGAACGTGCACACGAGTCAGACCAGCTAACCCTGCAGCTCATTCTGCTGCTGCTGTTACTGGGTAAGCATACTCAGCACTGCAGGGATAGAAAAGATCTTGGGAAATCAATAAAGCTGCTAAGAAGTTATTTGCTTGAGCGAAAGCGAGAAAAGGGGAAAATAAATAGGCAAAAACGTGGAACGGAGAGAGAGAGAACAGGGCTAAATTAGAAGTGGATTTTCTTCACAAGGGTTATTTTTAATGTGAGGCAGGTATCTTCCTCTTTCAGTACCGAGCTGATTTGCTCCTGGGTGCGTCTGACTCGCTCCATCTCAGGAGTGACCGGTGTGGGGGTCGCCTTCCCTAAGCCTTCCTTGTACACAACCTACAGACCACAAAGCAACGTCACAAGTGCACAGATTACAACTGTCGTGGCTGGTTTTAGAATGAACACCATTCGTTACGGAAGGGAAAAAAGTAAGTGAGGAAAAAAAATATTAAAAAGTTAAGTGATGAAAAATACATACGTACTATAATTTGACATTGTAAGTTCCTACGTCTGAGGGGAAAAATTAGAGGGTTAAGTGAAAACCAGGCAACCTTAAGTCATTTAGAAAGAGAACATCTCTATCTTAGCCCCTTCACATCTTGTGGACAATACCGAGCTAATCTGTTCTTGATTGCGTTTCACTCTCTCCATCTCAGGAGTGATAGGGGTGGGGGTTGCTCGCCCCAAGTTCTCTTTGTACAACACCTGTGGGATACAGAACACGTATCCGGCATCTCACAAAAAAGCAAGAACATTCAGAAGGATTCGAACGCAGGGAATTACGCAGTTATCAAAATTCACACCAGTAATGGCAGATGACAGTACGGATCACCGCAAAAAGCCAAACGTCTAGAGCTAGTGAGATGGGTAAGAAGAATAAACTGAAAAAGAGAAGCTTGTTACAACTGTTTGTTTGGGTTAAACTGAAGGGCTCTATCCAGCTACAGCTGCGACCTTGGCTCCACAGGCTCAAGGAAGCCACCAGTGACCCCAAGAACTAAGGGCTGTTCTATCTGCCCTGCTGGTCGTGATCCAGGCCAAGGAGAGGATCCCCTCTGTGCCTAAACCCTGACTGCCCAGTGTCCTACCTAAAAGCATGTGGTAATCCCAGGTGGGATTCTGGTCACCTCAAGCAATGCATCCCAGCTGGGGTTTTCCCCAAGGTTGGGGTTGGGTTTTCACAGAATCACAGAATTGCCAGGGTTGGAAGGGACTTCAAGGATGATGAATCTCCAACCCCCCTGCCACATGCAGGGCCACCAACCTTCCCACCTAATGCTAGACCAGGCTGCCCAGGGCCCCATCCAACCTGGCCTTGAACACCTCCAGGGATGGGGTTTTCTCCCACTAAACCCAAATAACCCCTGCAAGGACAACAACAGCTTACAGACACAGCACAGAGAGATGGAGCTGAGTGTCACTTCTCCCAGGGACAGCAGTCTGCTGGTGGTGGCTGGATAGAGCCCAAGTGAGACAAACTGAGCTGCAGAGAGCTCCTAAATTTTTGGATCAGAATGTTAACGCTAAAGCCAAGTTTATTTTAGAAAGGGAGAGATTAACTGGCAGAAACAAATCTATTTTTTTAATTAAAATCAGTGTTCAGTAGTTAGAATGTTACTTGATTAACATTACTATAGACACAAAGGGGAAAAAATATCTCTTTGTAAGGTACCGAGCTAATGATCTCTTGATTGCGTCTGACTCTCTCCATCTCTGGAGTGATTGGTGTTGGGGTCACTTTCCCCACGTTTTCTTTATACAAAACCTATAGGATACAAGGGAGTATCCAAATATCAGTAAGAATGTACTTCCACCAGCACAGAAACCACAAACAACCACGTACAATAACAGCTTCTGGGTTATTACGCTTCAAAGGGGTTAGGTTCCTGAAAGAAGCAATGGGAGCTTTGCCATTAATCCATTATCAACTGTGTGTAAAAGCAAGATAGTTACAAGAAATAGTTAAAGAAATTGCAAAGAAAAAATGGCCTTAAAATAATAAGTCAAAGGTCAAACCATTCTAGTTAAATCCTGCTTCAGAGAGTGTTAAACAGGAGAGGAGAAATTACAACTCGTTTGCAAGCACAAACTGGGGGTGTTCATGCTACCTGACAGGGTTGTGTTGTTTTTTTTTTTAAGAGTTAGGAAGCACAGATAAGTAAAACTGCTACTGTGTGTTAAAGACATCAGGTCTTTAGGAACTGGTTTCTTTTAATTAAGAGTACCGAGCTAATGATCTCTTGATTGCGTTTGACTCTCTCCATCTCAGGAGTCACAGGGGTTGGGGTGGCTTTCCCTATGTTCTCCTTATATAACACCTATGAGACATAAGAAAGGAGCCAACAGTAAACAAACAGCTCTCTCCGTAGGCGAACACAAAGGCATCTTTTCCTTGTATTTATTACAGATGTATTTCAAGGTCACAGCAATATTTTAGTAGAGAAGTAGGGCCTGGCGTACTCAATATGACTCAATAGACAGGTAAGTACTGTAAATGAGACTACGAAACACTGCTGAGGATGTTACGGAGATTTAAATTATAATAAAGTACATCAGCACTGCAGAGAAAATAAAGGAACTGTTTGTTATAAGTTTTTAGGATTAGAACAGGGCGTTAAAATAAGCCTTAAAACCAATAAAACTGCACCAAGTTAACGCAGTCAGTGTAAACCACAGTAAGCCACGGTAGGAAGTGATGGCTTATTAAAATGGCTTTAAAGCCATGGTCAGCATTATTTCCCAGTAAGAGTCACAGCGTCCACTTATTAAAACGGTTAAGTTGTTCGTTTCAGTCGAGTTAAAGGAGATGTTTTGTCTTGGCAAAGTACCGAGCTACAGATCTCTTGGTTGCGTTTGACCCTCTCCATCTCTGGAGTGATGGGGGTGGGGGTCCCCGTCCCCACGCTCTCTTTGTACAACACCTGCACAGCAACAAGAAGCATCCACAGAAATCAGAGCGCAGAAATCATCACATCCCACACAAAGCCAAATGTCTGAGTCTTCTGGGCAGTAATCTGCTCTCTCGTGCCCTCGAAGCTGCCCTGAAGGCTTGGATTACACCCGTAGGGTCTGATGGCAAACATTTCCATGCCTTTATCTTACAGGCACAACAAACCCAATCCAGAAGCTGTCACCATAACACAGAGCGAATGCATCTCTGTGCTGGAAGGGAGCTTCTAGCCAGCCTTCAGAGCCTGCTGGAATCCTGATTCCACGACAAGAGCACTACAGTGGGAAAGCAATTACAAAAAACCCCACAGGAACACAACACACACAAGTATATATTAAAAGGAAGTTGAAACAGGGAGCAAACTGGTTAAAGATATTTAGGATCACGTAAATAATTTCACACGTGAAGAAGTGGAACGTAAGTAACACTGCAAAATACAGTGAAAGAGAAAGGAGGATTTTTTAACTTGATTAAACTGATTAAGTGGAAGGAAGGAGAGGAGCCGTTCTGTTTTTAATAGAGATTAAACAGTTCAGTTTACGTGGAGTTAAGGGAACACATCTTTTCCCCCACAAAGTACCGAGCTAATGTGTTCTTGATTGCGTTTGACTCTCTCAACTTCAGGAGTGACAGGTATTGGGGTCCCTGTCCCCAGCTCCTCTTTGTACAACACCTGTGGGTAACACGGCTACGTTAAAACACCAAAAGGAAGGGGCAAACAGCAGCAGCACACAGCTTAATGGGAAAAGAGACTCAGCGTTGTTCAAGGTTGCCCTGAGCCAAAGCTTGGAATGAAAACTTAAAACCTTCTTCCTAACGATGACATACTTTGCAAAGAGTTTGCTTCTCTGGACCTATAACAAAACCTCTCTGCAATAGTAGGTGAAGAGCTCCTAAAGGAAGAAGGCCACAAAGACAACCAAAAAGGAACAAAGGAACAATTCTGTTTCATTTACCATTCCAAAAGCAGCACGCAGCGGGTTAAACCAGCCCCTATCAGGGCACCGTGACACAGAGCTCATCCCCACTGCCTGGGATCACACCACAAATAGTTCCGTTTTTAAAGGGAAAGGAGATAAAAATCAGGAGAAAAACCACACAAGATAACACTGAGGATTGAGGTGATTAACAAAAGGAAAAAAATGTTATAATTTAAGAACAAAAAAAAATTTAAAGGTGAGCAGAGTCAAGAGAAAGGTGGGATCCAGAAGTTGTTATCATTAAGATTGTGAGATCAAATCAGAGGAACAAGAATGATGTAAGTAATGATTACTCAGGGAAAAAAAATCTCAAAGGGAAAAGGAAACTTCTATTTAGATTGATTATAAGGGAAAAAGAAACTTGGGTGTTAAAATTATTTAGAAATAGGTCAGAAGGGAAGTTTCTGCTTCTCAGGCTACAGATACCGAGCTAACGTGTTCTTGATTGCGTCTGACTCTCTCAATCTCAGGAGTGACAGGGGTGGGGGTTCCCATCCCCACGTCCTCTTTGTACAACACCTGTGGACAACACGACCATGTGAAAATAAAGGAAGAGCAACAAGCAGAAAACAGTAAAACTCTGTATGCTGAGACCAAGCGTAACACGAGGGAGATGTTTTTCTGGGCTGCAAAACTGATGAATTAACAAAAAAACCCACAGAAATCAAAAACCAGTGCTGCCCTGCCTTGCTTGTTACCTTCTACTCCCTTCAGAATGGCCCAGTGCTGTGGTCTTGTGCCCAGCACAACTGGTTCCAAAATGGCGGCAGGCCTGGTGCCGCCATTGGGCAGCCATCTTACACTCAAAGGAAGAAGGTGAGAAGGACAATGCTAAAGGAACTAAGGAACAACTTGTGCTTCCTTCACCCCAACCATTAACATCACCAACACCTACCAGGGCACTGAGCTCATCCCACAGTCTGCATCACAGCAGAGAAAGTTTTGCTTTAACACACAGCAAAATCAAACCAAGAACCAAGGATTGAAGCAATTAATGAAAGGAAAAGCAGAGAGGAAAGAAAACCAATGTTCACAGGAAAAAATATAAAAATAGATTGGAACACAGAATCCAAAAGCTACCGGATTAAGGGAACTAAGCAAAACACAGGAATAAAAGTCAGGTGAGTAACCATTATGCAGGAAACAGCACCAAAACAAGGGGAAGGGGACACTGCTC